AAATGAAAAAAAAAAACTTTTTACTTTCAACTTTTTTAAGCCCCCCCAAAAAAATCACTGTTCGCTTCCAAGCCATAAAAAAAAAAACACTCGCCATTCCAAGGTTTTTACAAGAAAAATTTGATGAACAAGAATTTTTTTGGTCTGGCCTTAAGTGAATATTGGTCATTTTTACAACTAGAATGGCCACCAGTCAGCCATGTTGGTAAAAGAAGATATGTAATGAGTATATATATTATTCAGTATGACAATTTTAATCAAATCAGCTTACATACAACATCTCACCTACAATTGAACCCAACATGAAAACATTGTGAACATAATCAATAAATTATGAGGTTACACTGAACACCATTAATTCAAATGACGGGGACTATATTAAGGAGGATCAAGCATGTACAAGTATTTTTATCTTCCAGATATTTGCTAGGTTTTCAATGCAGCAATATATCAGAGCCAAACTTAGACCCAGTTCATTTGGAACCGAGCTGGAACTTAACTCTAGATGAGATGGTCATTTTGGTCTCACTCGGTCTATAGGTTCAACCCGAGGGTTAATTGGAGCTCGGTCTATAGGTTCAACTCGAGGGTTAATTGGAGCTCGGTCTATATGTTCAACTCAAGGGTTAATTGGAGAAAGAAATATGTCATTTTTGATGACTCAAGCTGCCGGGCAATGAGTCTTAATTATTTTATTCAGACCTATCTTTATATGTACGGTAGTTTACTTGATGTGTGTAATACCCATGTTATTGATATATCTGCCAACCAATCAGGCATCTCTCTGTATAGTTTAGTATAGTAGATTATATGGAAAATGGTCATATATTATTGGTTAAAACGATTATCATTTTTCTGACCTTGGTATAAAATTCATAAAGCTCTTTATGTGAGAATTCCATTCTGAGTTTGTCTTCACCTCCATTGTCATTACTGACATCCAATTCAAGCATGGCATTTGGTATTTTCATTTTACTGCTCTTTGCCTGCCCCATTTGTAGATTTAATCTCCAGCTCACATCTTCTAGCTTAGAATAGAATAGAACAGGATAGGATAGAATGACATCACTGCTAGTGTTTTATCATAGACGTCAAGTCTTCGGCATAACATTGTAAAATTGCTGGCCCCAGTTATGGATTCAAAAGCTTATACCAAATATTTTGTGAAGCCAAAACAACATGTTTTCAACCACTCTCCCTGGTACGGGTTGCTACAATATTGCAACATTGGTTTCAATTTCGATGACACATGATTTTTATTATTTCTGGTTTATTTGTCACATTATAAGCAATACATTTTTGTTTTTACTTCTAATGTTCCATATTGTTCATTTATATTTGTTGCATGTTTTTATTCGCCATTCTGAGTCTCTGTCGCAGTTCAATCTGCGTGTTGTCAATAGGCCCACCCTTATTTTTTGGCAATTTTCCATGTTCAGGACCCTGAGCTCTTAGCCGGATAAATATGTGGAAAGCACACTAGACGTACTTCTTTATATAAGGCTTTGATGTAGGAATTCTGTGAATATAAGTACATTCAGAATACATTGTAAATTTATTAGAATAATTATACATTGTAGACCAACCTGATTTATGGCAATAGTTCTTTGCCTTAACTGATCAATCACATCCTTACCATTTGTTGCCCATGCTTTGACAAAAACCGACACCTATAGGAGATAAAACATGTACAAACTATTACACCTACAATATAAAAACATCACATGTGTGCCCCAAACCTTCAGGGAGAACATTCAATGAAAAAAAAAACTACCAACTAAATCATTAAATAACGGAAAACTAACAATGAGATCATTATCAGTTTCTTAATGGTTTGAAAATAATAAGCTGACAGATAATACTGACAAGAAGAAATTTATGATTTTGACATGTGTATTAATTAATGTACATAAACCAAAAATTGCATTTATTGTATATTGGATATTAAAATAAGACTTAGGCCAAGGACAGAAATATCTGCCTGACAGGAAACTGTTAGTATATCATTGTCATTTACATAAGTGCTTACACTATAAATAGAGCAAATACGGTATACTAGTAATTTGAACAAAATTTTAAGATTTTTGTGAGAAAATGATGGTGCTCATAAATGTCTATGGCATAAAAAATGAATGAACGAATTGATGGATGGAGGGTTTGATGGATGGACAGATTGATGGATGGAGGGATTGATAGATGGAGGGATTGGTGGATGGAGGGATTGATGGATGGAGGGATTGATGGATGGACAGATTGATGAATGGAGGGATTGATGAATGGAGGGATTGATGGATGGACGGATTGATGGATGGAGGGATTGATGGATGGACGGATTGATGGATGGACGGATTGATGGATGGACAGATTGATGGATGGACAGATTGATGGATGGACGGATTGATGGATGGACGGATTGATGGATGGAGGGATTGATAGATGGATGGTTTGATGGATGGACGGATTGATGGATGGAGGGATTGATGGATGGAGAGATTGATGGATGGACAGATTGATTGATGGATGGTTTGATGAATGGAGGGTTTGATGGATGGAGGGTTTGATGGATGGAGGGATGGATAGATGGATGGATGGACAGATTGGTGGATGGAGGGATTGATGGATGGTTACACATTAAAATTTCCTTGTTGGAATACCGGTATACAATATTTGCTCCATATATGCATTAATAATATTTCCGGATACAGTTCTTTAAATAAATCGTCTATATTACCTTGTCATCATCAAGCTCTAAATTCTTTAGTTGTTGTTCAAGAACTGTTGGTTTAGCACAGTGGTATGCTGTCTAAATGTGAAACAGAAGACAACTATTATTATTACAATATGACAAACAGGTGGTAAACATTCTAAGACATATAAAAAGTCTCATACATGTGGTAAATAGTCACTGAAAACCATAACGTTTTAGAACACAGTGAAAGTTGAACTGGAGTCCTAAAATCGATGACTTTTGTGAGATTTTGTTGTTTCAATGAAAGCAGCAAATTGAATAACATCAACAGTCTGATATCATTAGAAAATGAACAATATGCATAGTATCAATGCAATGGGACTTGCTGTTTTCAACAAAAATTCAAAAATATCACTTTTCAAAATTAGATAATTGAAGATATCACCACGAAATTAACAAGTCTGAAAGAGCTCCACATGTAGTACCTATATATGTAGTATCAAAACAATCAGACTTGCGGTTTTTAACAAGAAGTCGAAAATATTACTTTTTACCAAAAATGACAAAAATATTCACCAAAATTTGAGAATTAAAGATATCATCACGAAATGAATAAATCTGAGAGAGGTCCACATGTAGTACCTATATATGTAATATCAAAGCAATCGGACTTGCCCTTTTTAATAATAAGTTGAAAATATCAAAATACCAAAAATATTCATCAAAATTAGAGAATTTGAGATTTTGACATGAAATGAACAAATCTGAGAAAGAACCATCTAAGGTACTTGCATATCAAATTTGAAAAAATTCTGACTTGCGGTTTCGAAGCAGAAGTTGAAATTGTAAAGTTGGCGACGACGAACGACAACGGCGAACAATCAGTAATATGAACAGCTCCGCTGTGTCGACTTTGTTAGGTTGTTAAAACTTTTCTACAAGCAGCCCCCTCTAGTGATGAACTGATTCTATGAAATCAAAATGAAGCACCAGTACATAGA